AGTGGTTCTGCGCGACATGACTGTGACAGGTCTGACCATGTCATCACCGTTGATATGATTGATGGCACTGCTCTGCTCTGATATCTCCAGGTGGGATCCCTGCTGCTGGTGAAAGTAGATTGGATCTAGCGTTCGTAAAACGTATGTAAAATACGTCAGTCCGTTGTTTATGGAGACCTTTTTCCCGATATAGCTTTGTCGTGCCCAGTTTTATGTATTATCGATGGAGATTAAAGCTATGCGATCGCCAAATGCAAACCAGTCTCCATGCGGTTGGCGGAATGAACCCTTACTGCAGCAGACCTGCTTGACGGGCTGCTACAGGAGCTTGAAAATGGTTTTTCTATTTAATATAGAAAGTAATATTATGTTATAGCTTATTCGATTATGTTACGAGTTGCATCGCTACGAGTCGCGTTGTATGGTGATCTTTTAGCACTGTTTTTTCTTAAATAGTGGATCAGCGTGGAGGAATAGAATTATTACTACTGGAGCAGCATGAAACAGAGCTTGAAGAACCTGAAACTATGTTTTTGCAGCAGTAATATTAAGTTATTGTTTTTTAAATGTTTTTGTCATTTATTTTGTAATGTTATGGGTGTCGTAACGAAACGCGTCGTAATGAGATCAAGCATCTTGTTTGCTTCTCAAGTCATTCTACAGGTAGCTGCGATTTTAATTATCTAGTTCGCTGTAGTTAATATAGTACGTAAGAATGAAGTACTGTTTTTCTTTAATGTTGCTGACGTTCTAGTTAATTTAAAATTGATTACTGTATGCCGTTTATGATGTTAGGAATAAATTTCTTAGCAAAAAATAACATGAACTGTATCGTAATGAATTTTAAATTAATTTTTTCTAACGCTGATGTCAAACGTCATAGTACTAAAAGTAAATTAAAGTATGTAAGCGTATTATTTCACGTGGGGTCACAGTTAAAAATGCAAAGAATATTACTTACGAAATGTAACATTGATGTCATTTATGAAAGATTTTACAACCGTGACATTTTAATACGTAGCTTTAAAAGTTTATTGGTTTGGTTTATGCTATTATTGATTACGGAAAGTGTAGCATAGTCGAAACCGCTGACACCTTACTCGAGCAAATTTTGCTGTCAATTTAAGATGATAAATGACCATAGTCAAAAACGCCTTGCCGATCCCATAACCCATCCGGTTTCAGTACGTTGAGAGCTTGTACATCGTGCAGCATGCCATTATCGAAACATTCATCCCAACTGTTGGCAAGAATGTGCCGATATCATCAGCACGGAAGAGACTTTTCAACGGATACGTCAAACAGGCAT